TAATTTAAGGAGTAGAAAAATCATGCTTTTTACACATAAAAAGCCAGATGGAAGAATGTTGTGTTTGGTTGCTTGTCAAACTGATAACACAATGTTTTATTTCCAAAGACAGGATTAGAAATCATTATTTTTGTTATTCAAAGCTCCCAATCAGTTTTTTACACCAGTACTGATTGTACTTTACTCTGTGAATATGTTTACTTACTCCCTCTTAATTAGTTCTGTTTTATGCCCCTATAATTGCTCTGTGCTGCAAGGATGAATTGGATAAATTTTTTGCATTTATTTTTGTCTGGATAAAGCTGGCTAACTCTCATTATGAGTGCATATTAAAAAAATTCTGATGCAAATCATGTACTATCTGCAATAAATCCATACATAAAGAATCTAAAAGCAGGAAATTATTTAGTGACTCATTCTGGTGTGGGATAAGGGAGGCATCCTTTCTCTTTGCCAGTTAACAAGAATGTTGCTATTTTGTACTAGGGACTTACGGTTGCTCTATGAGATCTTAAAAGGATTATCTTTGTTGTTGATTTGGTTTGGGTTTAGATTTAATCTTCAGCAATGCTGTTTATCAGTTTCTGAGGGATGGTAACACTAAATTGTCTATACTTAGTGATGGGCACAGATTAATAGACAGTAAAGACAGCTACTTTTCAACGTTTGAGTCGAAAAACTTGAAAAAGATCCACTTGTCTCTCTTTACCTCAGTATATGTGTGTAGAATGTGTATTTTTAATTATAGCATAAGTTATACCATTGTTTGGTCAGCAATGTATTTTGTGAAAATTAATCTTCAACTAGTAATGAAGCCAAGAAGTGTGATGACATAACAATTATAGTGGCAAATCCATTTTATGTAGTTTTACAACTTCGCCGATTACTTCCACTCAGTCTGTATCAGATGACTGTTACATTAATATTGCTGCAGTCCTTTCATCCACTATCTATACCTGTCGGTGGTTACAGAGCCTCCAGTTTCTCCAGCCTCTCTCATTTTTCTCTACCAGTCCTTTTCTAATTTTTCAAACTAATAAAGTCTTTTGGGCAGAGGCTGTCCCCTTTTTCTGATTCTAATCAGTGAAGCTTCAAGGCACAACCAAAATAGTATAGGAATAAATAATACTGGAGGACTGAAGGAAAAAGCATCATTTTGCCTGCTTGGCATATAACCTGCAAGCAACAACTCCTTTTGTATCTTTTGCATGTTGAAGAACCCTTTTCAGGGTTCTCACATATCTCCAGAGAAACTAGTGGGTATGTGAATAAGAAGTATGAAACTCGGGTATCTTTGAACAAGTTTCCAGTTAATTTGGGATATCTTATTTTTAATCCTTCCTTAAACTTCTGTTACCAAAATCCTTTGCAGAGCTCCCCATTGCCTTAGTGTTCTCCTTTCTGTTTCCATAATTATAGTCTTCCAGAAAAGACAAAATGCCTCAGTTTTTAGGCCTGGTTTTCAGATATTGTCCAGTATTGAATCCCAATAAGGTGTAGGTGGGAAGAGGGTGTGCAAAGAAACAGATTTCCCTGGTGCAGTTAGAGTTGAATCTGCATTTGAATTAGGGAACAAATAGCTGTTGGCTAGAAGCACACCATTGCCATAAAAACACATGCAATATTTAATGTAGGTGCAGCTAGTACCAAAAAGTCCAACTTACTTCTGTTTTTGTAATGGGAAATAGATGTTTCATGGTGCCATTAGAATGTATGGCTATAAAGCTCTTCCTGTATCTTTAAAGCCTATATGATAGATTTTTTACAACAATTTCCTTACTCGTTTTACATATGATGGTGGGGGGAGGTTGAGATTTATTTCCTTGTTTCAGAAAAGTACCCAGTTCTCCTCTCTCCACTCCAAAACAGGGAAGACAACTCTTTTTGTTCCTGCTAAACAAATATAACTTACTTTCAGGTTTTCCCTTGTTGCAAACTTGAATTACAGTGTGTACTGCAGTGGCTTCACTTCAAAGAGTGGCACCGGAGACTATAAAAAAAATCTTCATTAAAAGGTTGCATTCACTATCAATCATTTATCAGCAGTCCTGGCTAACCAGGGAGGTCCCAGTGGACTGGAGGTTAGCAGATCTACAGGAAGGGCTGGAAGGAGGCTCCAGGAAACTACAGGCTTGTCAGTCTCACCTCAGTGCTGGGGAAGGTTACGGAGCAGATCGTCTTGAGTGCCATCACACAACACGTACAGAACAACCAGGTGATCAGGTCCAGTCAGCATGGGTTTCTGAAAGGCAGGTCCTGCTCGACTCACCTGATCTCCTTCTATGACAAGGTGACTGTCCTGATTTCAGCTGGGATAGAATTAATTTTCTTCCCAGTAGTTGGCATAGTGCTGTGTTTTGGATTTAGTATGACAATAATGTTGATAACACACTGATGGTTTAGTTGTTGCTAAGTAGTGCTTACACTAAGTCAAGGACTTTTCAGCTTCCCATGCTCTGCCAGGTGCACAAGAAGCTGGGAGGGGGCACAGGCAGGACAGCTGGCCCAAGCTGGCCAAAGGGCTATTCCATACCATATGGTGTCATGCTCAGTATAGAAACTGGGGGGAGTTGGCTGGGGGACAGCGATCGCTGCTTGGGGACTGGCTGGGCATCGGTCAGCGGGTGGTGAGCAATTGCATTGTGCATCACTTGGTTTGTATATTCTTTTATCGTTGTTATTATTATTATTATTGTCTTTTCCTCTGCTGTCCTATTAAACTGCCTTTATCTCAACCCACGGGTTTTACTTTTTTTTTTTTTTTTTTCCAATTCTCTCCGCCATCCCACCAGGGAGGGTGAGCGAGCGGCTGCGTGGTGCTTGGTTGCTGACTGGGGTTCAACTATGACAGTGACCCACTTAGTGGACAAAGGAAAGGCAGTGGATGTTGTCTGCCTAGTCTTTAGTAAAGCCTTTGACACCATTTCCCACAGCATTCTCCTGGAGAAACTGGCTGCTCATGGCTTGGATGACTCTTCACAGGGTAAAAACCTGGCTGGATGGCCGGGCCCAAAGAGTTGTGGTGAATGGAGTTAAATCCAGGTGGCAGCCGGTCACAAGTGATGTGTTCCCCAGGGCTCAGTATTGGGGCCAGTTCTGTTTAATATCTTTATCTATGATCTGGATGAGGGGATTGACCGCACCCTCTGTAAATTTGTGGGAGTGTTGATCTGCTTGAAGGTAGGAAGGCTCTACAAGAGGGATCTGGACAGGCTGGGTCCTGCACTTGGGTCATAACAACCCCATGCAATGCTACAGGCTTGGGGGAGAGTGGCTGGAAAGCTGCTTGGTGGAAAAGGACCTGGGGGTATTGGTCAACAGCCGGCTAAATATGAGCAGTGTACCCAGGTGGCCAAGAAGGCCAACAGCATCCTGGCTTATATCAGAAAAAATGTGGCCAGCAGGACTAGAAAAGTGATCGTGCCCCTGTACTTGGCACTGGTGGAGGCCACACCTCGAATACAGTGTTCAGTTTTGGGCCCCTCACTACAAGAAAACATTGAGGTGCTGGAACATGTCCAACGAAGGGTAACGAAGCTGGTGAAGGGTCTGGAGCACAAGTCTTATGAGGAGTGACTGAGGGAACTGGGGTTGTTTAGCCTGGAGAAGAGGAGGCTGAGGGGAGACCTTATCGGTCTCTACAACTACCTGAAAGGAGGTTGTAGCGAGGTGGGTGTTGGTTTCTTTCCCCAGGTAAAAAATGATAGGCCAAGAGGAAATGGCCTCAAGTTGCACCAGGGGAGGTTTAGATTGGATATTAGGAAAAATTTCTTCACAGAAAGGGGTTTCAAGCATTGGAACAGGCTGCCCAGGGAGGTGGTGGAGTCCCCATCCCTGGAGGTATTCAAAAGACGTGTAGATGTGGTGCTTAGGGACATGGTTTAGTGGTGGAGTTGGTAGTGTTAGGTTAATGGTTGGACTTGATGATCTTAAAGGTCTTTTCCAACCTAAACAATTCTATGATTATATGATTCTAATACTATGACATGGAGTGTTATTACGCTTTGGTATGTGTTTATCAGCATAAGATGAAATGGTTGATGAAAAAGTAAATTAGGCTGCATTTATTTTCACTGTGCAAAATTTAAGACTGCCTATGACACACACAGTTTGAAAAATAGGAACTTAAAGGAATTTCCAGTTCAACCTTAACTCTTTGTGAAAGGAGAGAATGGAAAATACAATAGAGCAAGGTTCAAGTGAATATAGTTGTTCAAGCTCTGTTTCCTACTCAATTTTTAGGCACTTTCACTGGTTTTCTGATGTACTTTCTCAAGCACAATTGTTTGAAGTATTGTGGATTACAGAGGTTTTTGTTGTTGTTTAAATTTAATATTTTCTTCAGATGGTAATTTCTCTTTTATAAATAGCTTCAGTTTCTTCTACAGGTAATGGCCACTACTACTATTTCATTAATCCTTTCTCTGTGGGATTTCATTCAGATGGCATTTAACATAGTGGCTTAGTTATTCCAAGTTGTTATCACGTATTTTAGATGAGATTCAACTTTGTATTCAGACCCTTTTAAGTTTATATGTCCACAGTGTAGCTTGTACTAGGAGTTTAAACTCCCATTGGTTTCAGTGGAATTCAACTCAATGTAGTCAGTAGAACTAATAATTTTTATCCTGAATTGGGTAGTGACATTGAGTTGGTTGAGTAGATCTAGTCAATAAAGACAGTAGTTGCTTATATTGTGATTTGGCTTATTTAAAGACACCTATGGAACATATACCTTAATTTAGTTGTGTGAGTCTAGACCTGATTACTACCTTTCATCTTCCTGTGTCTTTGTTTAAAAATATATATAAATTACTTGTCTATATTAGTGTTGTAAAATGTGATTCTGAAAGGTTATAAGTTGTATCATTGGCAAATACGAACTTTTATATAATGAATAGAATACTAAATCTGTTGTAGAAACTGTGATTTCCTTAAGAAGCTGCAGTCGTTCAAGAAATTAGTTTATTTTTAAAAGTGGTATATTTTGCTTCTTCCAGATGGTCCTCGGCCCTCACAGAAAGAAATCATATCACTAAGAGCATTTATGCTGCTGTTTTTGAAACAACTCATATTGAAGGTAAACCAGTCTATTCCAGATGGAAAACATTGAGATCTGTTATATACATGTAATAGGATCTTTCACAGTAGTAAATATGTAATACCTATCAGGTATCATATCTGTTTCTGGTTAATTTTAATGTTCATGCACATACTTCTAATCAACATAAAGATAGTAAATCTGTACAATATTTCTCATTAACCTCACCAAACTATGCCACGTCTGTTTTATTAAATGTACTTGCAGACACAGTATATGATGCTACAGAACCTTTTGGGTATTTGGGCTTTTTTATATGATAGTAGATTATCGCTTGATTGTTCAAATGAAAAAAGTAGTGGTAGTTGTTATTGCTTTATCCTTTTTTTTGGTTCTACCACTGGTTGAAATGGTCTAGGACTCTTACAGCTGAACGCTAGTCTTTGAGGTATACTCCGTCATTTGAGACTAGACTGTAAACCAGTATTTTCTGGCTTGGCCTGTTCCTCCTGGGTTTCTTTCTGTTCTGTGTCAGGGATTGGAGGAGTGGCAGTAATAGTTTATAGTATCTGAGGGCCCATATTATAAGAATCCTTTCTAGCAGGAATAGAGGGCTGACTTCATGCTGTTTTGAATTGTCAATGTGATACGGAAAAGCAATGGAATGAAAGAGAGAATTGAGTCTTTTGAGTTTAAATAGAAAAAATTGTAGGATTATTTGACTTGGTCCAAGTTTTTCTTAAGCCAAACTTAAAGAAGGTATTTTTTCTGAATAATGCCCCTGCTTTTTTTTTTTTTAGGATCGAGGAGTGAAAGAAGATGAACTGCAGAGCATATTAAATTACTTATTAACAATGCATGAGGTACATTTCTGTAATTACCTACCTTTTACTGTAACCAAGTTTACCAGCTCTATGTTCCCATAGAACTGTTGAAGTTAGTTTGTAGAATAACATTCATGCTTGTCGTACAGGATGAAAATATTCATGATGTGCTGCAGCTGCTAGTGGCACTAATGTCCGAACATCCAGCATCCATGATACCTGCCTTTGATCAGAGAAATGGGATACGGTAAGACAGTGAAGTGAGAAAGTATCTTAAAAGTAGTTCCAGTATCATCACTCTCCAGATTGCTTCTTTTTCACATAAATATCACACTTGCTGATCTTTCAGACTGCAATTTTATTAACTTAGGCTATATTTTTTGTCAAAAACAGAGTGTTTTGATAGCTTGGAGGAAAAAATTTTCCACTTAAGGTTTTCATTATGATATTTGAAGGTAAATGTACTGTTGTACTTGCTTCTCAGTCTCAAATAGAGTATGTAATTAAGAAGATGCATCAAAAAGCCAAGTGTATATCTCTGAATAATTTTGAATATTCTGTCTTCAGATGTTTAACGTAATCTGGAGGGAAGAAGAGGAAAACAAGAGAAGCTATGCCCTAACCTCTCAAATTCTCTCTGAAAAGATTAAAAAACTATCTGTGGAATTCATATGTTTATCTGTTTGACAGTAAAATTAATAACTGATAATTCCCAGAGAAGCAGTATTTTTGTTGTTTTCTTATGCCTAATTTGGTAATGCAATTTTTTCAGATATTAATAATTTTCATGGTTTTTTTACTATAGAATTTTATTTTGTGCTGTTCTGAAAATATTTTGGAAAATGCAAGGGGCTTGTAAAACGGGGAAAAAAACCCATCTGCTACCTTATAAACTCAAACTTTGTTTTGCCAGAATACTAAGATCTTTGTACAAATACTTGTATTTAAAACTGTTTGAATGACAGTGCTAGGTGAAGGGAAGAGTCATTGTACTCGCGGTTAGGGTTTTGTTTTCTGCCTATAGTTGTCTGTATTCTATCCTGACACCTTTCAAAGAAGTGTAAGACTGATCTAGAGGATTTAAGACAGCTTTATGTAACATTTGTGGTACCAATATTAAAATTATTTTATGGTACAGTCTCTGTATTTAAAAGTCTGTGTTGAAAAAGTGGAGACAATGCACAGGATTGCAACATTTAAGTGTTAAAAAAAATGCCTTACATAGAATTAGGGGTTCATCTGCTTAGGAAATCAGATGACAAAAGCCTCAAAGGTCATTTCATAATGACATAAGTCCTTTCAAAAGAGGAAGATACTGTCTGCTAAAGTGCTCTTTAGTGGAGAAAGACTAAAAAGAATGGCTAAAAGCCGAAGCTCAGCTAATTCAAATGGGAAACTAAAATATAAATTTAAAAATTTGTTGAAGAACTGTCCAGGGAAAGGCTAATGTTTTCTGTCTCTTGGCGTCTTCAAGTCAAGACTGGTTTCCTTTCTGAAAGACTGTAGAATTTGTGTGTAAACCAATCGTATTCATTAAATGAATAATGAATTAAATTAGTTAAATTTTGAGGCCTTTTTTATCCAGGATTTGAAAACATGGGCTGTATTTTTTTTCTACTTCAAATTTTGATGCAATGAGGATGCGGCTTCGTAGGTAGGGATTTTGTGTAACATATGGCCATATTTTACTTTTAACAAATGAGATTTCAGTATAAACATCCTGTCATTAAACGCAGGTACCCTACCCTGTGTAGAAAGGATACTGAGCAAGGTTTTTAAGAATGAAAAGAGATTTTAAGTGGCATCCAGGTGCTCCAAGAAACTCCAAGAAACACATCTTATGTGCTCCAATCTGCTACTCATCTTAAGCTACAATTGCTCAGGCTGTCTTTTATTTGATTGTTCCAAGGTAGAAGTATGAGAGAAGGTTGTCACTTTCTGTTACAAAACATTGAACTGAACCAAAGGACACCATGTCTCTAACCTAAAGAATTCATAATCAAACTCTTACGCTATACTTGGTGCTTTCAGTATATCTTTCCATTTTGTGCAAATTGCTATTTTAATAGTTTTATTTATTAATAAATATCCCTGTTCAGTGAAATAAAATCTATATATGTGATGTTTAGTAATAAACTGAAAAACTTGTTGAATTTGTTTTTCTTTTTTAGAGTAATTTATAAATTATTGGCTTCCAAAAGTGAGAGTATATGGGTGCAAGCTTTGAAGGTCCTTGGATATTTTCTTAAACACTTGGGCCATAAGTAAGTATAGTTTTAAAATTGTTATAGTGGTGTATTTAAGTTCACAATTCTTGTCTTTTTTTTTTTTTACTGTATATTCTTTGACAGTCTTTAGAAATTACTTAAAATTGTTAGGTTTTCTGATTAATAATTTCCACCTTTATACATTGGGATAAAATTAATTTTCCAGTTAAATTGTTACTAATGATGTTTGAAAACATACAGCGATTTTCTGCCAAATACATGATATGCTGAAATTCAAGTCTTAAAACAGTTGAAAAACATTTCCAAAAATACATTTTATAAGTGTATATTGTATGTTCAGCTAAGGATAATAGGGAACATATGAGTGTCATCAAAAATTTGTTGCTGGAATTTTCAGTGTCATTGCAATAGAAGTTTCAGGGCATTACTTTTAAAAATAGCTTTAAAATGATGGGAAAAATGAAATAGAAGAATATGTTATTCACATGGGAAAATTATGGAAGGAGAAGCAAACAGACTAAATAAATGATCATAAAAATAGGAGGTAAGGACATACCTCTGTGCAAGAAATATTCACATATAAAATGTGCCAGCAAGAAATACTCACATTTAAAAAGAACTGGTGTCACAAAATAGACGCACTTAGTCTCATCTTCCATATTTTGGTGTTAAGAAAGAACTAAACAGCATGCAGTGCTGTGTCATCTGCTGCTGCTCACTTTTCCTGTTCTACGTGTGGTGCTTAACTGTTGGCCAGGGTTAACCCACAACAATATTCCAGTGGGAGACTGTGCAGTATGAAAATTAACCGTGTGCTTCACAAGAGACTTCATCATGTAAAACCTCCTTAGAAGGGAAGGGAGCTAGGAGTCCAGCCAGAGTGTGGTATTGCTAGACATGCTTTTCTCAGTAAGATCAATAAAGTATGACTGTATAATTGAGAGACAGTTAGCTGAGAATATGCTCCCAAATGGGATTTTTCTTTTGGGATCCAGCAAGCCAAATAGTGTTCTGGGAATTAATAAAGCAAATTGATGGTCCACTCAAGAATCTCCAAGGGCTTTTCAGACATTACTTACTATAATTCATTCATAGGAGTTGGATTAAATAAGATACACCAGATGAAGGTTTGACTTGTGCAGAAGCCTGGTTGTGTCTATTAAATAAAGTACATTTGTTTAAAATATTTGTCGCTTATCCAGTAAACCAAGTAGCAAACTCTATCAGTGGAACATTACAGAAAAAGAAAAGTGAGATCTTTCAGAAGTTGAAATTTCATTTCCCAGTCCTTAGCATCTACTTGTAATTATGGATGTATCAGTGTAGTTTCCATTGTTGAGTGAAAGTATGTACTTAGCACAAAATTAAATAACTATTTTTCATGTAACTGAAGTCATTGAAATCCACTTGAATATTCTGTGTAACTTTCAAAGTTTTTTTAAAAATTTCGGACTTCTGAACATCTATAAATGTTCACATTTTATGTAGATTTCAGCAAGTAAAAATGCCCACCCCCATTTTCATATCATACAGCTAGCGCTGGTGAGGTGCACCTGTTTGTGCACATAGGTATGTGTGCTTACGCATATTATAAAATTGTGGTCAACTACAGGAAATGCTAAGCAATTATAAAATTATAAACTACAAAAAATTATAAAGCACTTAAATTTCTGTTTCACAGTACAGGAAACAGGCATTGCTAAAGCAGAATTGCATGAAGAGATGTTATAATGTGATTTATGAAATCTGAACCAATACAATATTAATAACAAATATGTAGGTACAAAACCAGTTACCATTGCTGTAGTTCATATATATTAATTGCAGATTAAGCTATAGAGTGGAGGTAATTGATTCTTAGAAGTGACCAGTAATGTGTTAGATGAGATCCTGAATAACTTAATTGATTTTTCTTTGTGATCTGTGATAGACTACTCCATCTAACTTTAACAGTTGGCGAAGTCCTGTTCTTTTCCTTCTCTTCCATCTTTGATTCTTTTTACGCCACCACTGAAATCATAGTCTGTTATTTACTTTTATTTTTTATTTCCACATTTAAACCTTCCAGCAAATTTTCACTTCCATGTACTACATCATAGCTCACAAGGTTGAATACCTCTAGTTTTTCTCATAAGTAACTCATGAACTCTTTTCTGTGCAAGGAAGGGTACACAGTGTTATAAGTTGTTGCCACTCTCTTTGGTGGTTATTTGAAAATTATAATATAATTAATTTCAAAAGTTCTAGAATGAATCTATGCAATTTAAACCTGTGTTATTATCATCAGTAATCATGAAAAGGGAATTTCTTAGCTTTTGAATACATAAAATTTTACCGAAATTTTACTGTATATTATCTTATTTCATATTTTTCTGCTGCTTTAATATAGATTACTAATTATTTTCAATACTATTTTTTGTTTCATATTCATTACAGTAGTAGGTAAATTTAATAATGCCATTTATGAGAAGTACTTCGCTTGTTTATGGAGTTATATCCAATTTTAAAAGACTACTGTTTTGGGACAGATGGAATTCACTGATGTGAGCTGCTCTCTTCTCTGCTTTTTAAGATTTGAGTAGGTTTTGATCCTAGCTATAAAATTCATTTCAATCACCTGGAATTTCAAAACTTTTCAGGATTTTATTTCCTTTGCATTGTAACATATGTTATTCCAGGATTTAATTATTTTGGCTGCATGAGAGATTACTATATAAAGAGAATGGCAGTACTGATAAATCTGTGTATGTTAGTAGTTATGTTGGAGTATCTGAGGGTGGATTGTTCTGAGTCCTTGAGAGAGTGACAGAAGATATGTGCTGCAGTGATCACATTTTAGCCAGCCTGTGAACATCGTGAACTCTGTCAGCCGGAGTAAAATGGAAGGGGATTCTTTGTCTGTAATGTTCCACTGTGAAAATCATGGAGGGTGAGAATGGTGTGTCATTTGTTTTATACAGAAGCCCATACCAAATGCAGCATTGCATTCTGAGAACCTTTGTGTATTACTACAATTGCGTTTATATTGGGAAAGATCTTAAATTATGTTCAACTCATAATATTTACGGAACAAGTTTTAGAACTTTTTAGTACAACATCAAGATATTTGGCTTTTGGTTTTTTTGCATTTACTTAAAATGTTCAACATGCTTGGCATTTTCCTAATATTTTTATTTTCTCTTCCAGGCGAAAGGTTGAAATCATGCATACTCACAGTCTTTTCACTCTTCTTGGAGAAAGGTTGATGCTGCATACAAATACAGTGACTGTTACAACATATAACACACTTTATGAGGTACAAATTATTAAACATATTGTCATCTCTATTGTAAAAATTATGACTTAATTATATTGTGACACTTAATTATATTCTGCTTTACAATATCCTGATTCTCAAGACTTTTGATAAAATTTTACATAGAAATTTTAAAAAAGGATTTCTTGGTTCAGAATGTATTTTCCCATGCTTTGGATATTTTTATTAACAATGTCATAATTTTTACATAGTCTCTATAAAACTTTCCACTTACAAAGGGTGATGGAAAAGATGCTGCTATTTTAAGATGTTCAGCATTTTACACAAAAAAAAAAGTTACTGCAGACCTGCAATTGCTCTTACTCCTCCATTGCGATAGAAAGTGCTGGAGCCAGAGAGATGCCTTTTTTTCTTTTTCTTTTTTGTGCCATTCCTTTCAAGTTTACAAAATTCTGAAAAGTGATGGTTTTCTTTTTTAGCTAGTAATGCTGATAGCAAGCCAAACTGATAACTGAAGACATCCACTTCTATGCAACAGATACTGCTTGAGGCAAATATGACCTCAAAGCATTCAACCATTCTACCAGACTCTTGTAGAAACTTCAGTTTTGATGATGAGCAATTTCATTAAAGCAAAATATTGTCAACAGCAAATTGGTCAAAACCCATGTCCTCATGCCTGCAAATGCATGAAGATCATGTCCAATCTTATTTTTAAAATTGAGCCTTTTGCAATTTCTGAGGATCTCATGCAGTAGAAAGCATAATTAAAAAAATACCTTTTTTTTTTTTTTTTTGGTCAGTCACAAATAGGTGTAATGGCTAGATACTGAGGATTGATTCCAGAAAAGTCATGGAAGACTGAAGGAGTGCTTGATATTTAGGGTGCTGAGTCTGAGTGGTGTAGAAAATGTTCTCCTCTGATTGTAAGAACCTAGATGTCATCTATTTGCCAATGACTTACTTGGATGTTAAGGGTTTTTTTATTGCACGTATCTAAGCTTACCCTGTGTGGTTTGACCACTTGGGTCTCACAGTCTCACTGCATAAAGATTTCTGAGAGCTTCTGTGATTGGTATTCTCAGAAAATTCATAACTCAGTGACAAAATTAAAGTCCTCATGGAGTCCAGCATCCACAGACATTTACATTTAAAAAAATAGCCAGAGGAGAAAAAGGAGTTAAGTGCCAGAAGTACAAAAGATTTGCCAAGGAACTCATGCAGATATTTTCCATGTTCTCTCATAACAAGCAAAGGCATATTTGCATTCTATTTTAAATACCAATATGTAAAGACCCATTCAAAGATATGTGTTTATGACTGACATGAGTTTGAGTATTGATTATTGATTAATGAATGAGCTAAAGTTCTGCTTTAAAATAAATAAGAATTACTAGTGAAATTATTCTATTTCCAAATACAGTTGCTTGAATATACTTACTGAAAATCCCATGTTAATATCATTAAATTTTTAGCTTGTTCTCAAAAATAAAGTTGCATACATAGAACCTGTGACAGGTATCCCAGTGTGAAAGTGGTGTGATTTAAACCAATAGGCAGCTAAATCCCACACAGCCGTTCACTCACTTCCCCCCTCCCCAGTGGGATGGGGGAGAGAATCGGGGAAAAAAAGTAAAATTCCTGGGCTGAGATAAAGGCAGTTTAATAGGACAGAAAAGGAAGGGGCG